AGGAAATTGCTCCAATAAACACAAACGCTACTGAACAAGAAACTCTTCGCCGAAAGTTAGCAAATAATCCCGGAAAATCCTCTATAAAGAGTAGGTAAAACGTTGTAACTCTGTTTGAATATCATAAACTATCGGGGTAAGTTACAGCAAGCTGAGATATCTAAATACTGACAGGTCTCTCGAGAAACGGCGACACGAATTCTATTTTTATCTTCCAATCACAGGTCGGCGCAGCAATTCCGTCTGTTTTGAGCCAGGCACAGCAAGCTGGACGCGGGGTGAAGTGTAAAAAATGTGTGATATGAAGCAGCAGTAGAATCCTAAAGCTGGTATGATTTGACAGATCCAGACTGAGGATCTCCGGTAGAACAATTTCTATTGTTAAACTATTAATCTATTAAAAAATACTATTTCAGTAAGGTCATTTCCACCGGTTAGCAGGAGCATAAGGTACGATATTGTAAAAACCATGTGGGACACTTATAGCAAGGCATCTTCGTTGCACGTACATGTACATCTCGTTTAATCACGTACGTACATCTCGGTCGTAAACAGTCTGAGTCACATACGCACATCTCAATCTACGCAGTCACATACGCACATCTCAATCTACAGTCACATACGCCACATTCTCAAATCTTACAGTCACATACGCACATCTAAATCTACAGTCACATACGCACATGTTCTCAATCTTACAGTCACATTACGCACATCTCAATCTCACAAGTTACATTATACGTGTATGTTGCGGGAGCGCTTATTGCCTCCAACAATCTAAAACGTATTACGTCTGGACGACAGAATTACTTCGGTCTAGGAGCGTATTGCAGGCCCTATTGCTGCGTGTTTACATTGGATCTCTCAGTCTACAGTCACATACGTAAACACTGAGTTTACAGTCACACAATTCTCAATCTACTGTCCATACGTAGCCTCGTAGGCCCGCCTACATCTACATACAGTTAACACGTACAACGGTAGGCCTACATAGTACATGCATTATACACGTCACATGATTATGATACGGCGTACAAACCCATTCTCACGCACTTGAACATGAAAGCCGTATCTAACTCACTCCGGACCGCAAACTGAATAAGCTCATGATGATCACATTGAATGGCCACAATTAATTACACTAATAACGTTATTCATGGAGTTAGTTTATTTAAGATTTATGCTTGCCTGCGCTGCCGATTCCGCCTGTGTTGCTCTGCTTAAGCCGCAAATATTTACCGGTTTACAATATGCCACAGTCGACTTTGGCCAAACATTCAACTCCGTGCGGAGCACGGGTATTTGCTAGTCATTAGTAATGCTGATAGGGTCTATGTCCCCTGGGATACTGCCGGAACGTACCCTGGTACTATCTAATATGCCGGACCGTACCTCGCCTACTCCACTAACGAGTCTAGGGAGTCACCTACGCCAGACCTTGTGTTTTAAGGTGCGCGATCGTTCGTTGTATTTTTAGATAAAGTTTTAATAGTCTGCTTTGAAAAATTGAGTGTTGTTCCTTTTTGACTAAACATGCTAAATGTATGATTCAAGTTATCCACATGTTCAAGAACTGATATTTTGTTAGATGAAAAAAAATCACCTAAAAAATGTCAAAATTTAGAGTACAAATGCAGAGCTAATTTTTATCCCAAAATGCTGGAAATGGCATTTCATGAAGTCTAGTTTGCAATTTTTTTCCCCAAACCCCCCTAGTTTGCCTCGTGCCCTGTGGGCACTCCGATGCAAATCACACACCTCGGCAAGCCAAGGTGTGCAATTTTTCACTCGCCTGCCTTTTCCAAAACACAAGGACTGCTACGCCTACTCCCTAACCCAAACCCTAACCCTAATCCTAACCCTAACCATATCAAATAGTGACCAGGGTAAGTTCCGGTATACCGGACCGTACCCAGGGTACCCCCGTTCCGGCAGTACCCTGGGGGACATAGACCCTATGAGCATTAGTAATGCTCATTGGGTCTATGTCCCCCAGGGTACTGCCGGAACGTACCCTGGGTACGGTCCGGTATACCAGAACGTACCCTGGTCACTATTTGATATGGTTAGGGTTAGGTTTAGGGTTCGGGTTCGGGTTAGGGAGTAGGGGTAGACGACTCCCTAGACTCGTTAGTGGAGTAGGCTAGGTACGGTCCGGCATATAATATAGTACCAGGGTACGTTTCGGCAGTACCCCGGGGGACATAGACCCTATCAGCATTAGTAATACTAATAGTAATAGTAATACTAATAGTAATACTAATACTAGTATGTATAGCATGCAGGACAGTGGCAGCAGGTGGCGAAATTGTATTACGAAGGAGCATTTGAACGGTGCTTACATAGAATTATTAGTCGATAAAGAATACATGTACATTGAGACATAGTATTACTATTAGTAATACTAAATACAATTTGTGTACATTTATAATCAATTTATTAATATTAGTAACATTACTGAAACGGTCCAACGACCAAGTATTAATGCACACTTCCTAGCCACCAAATAGATACCTTTTTATTCTCAGTACGCATCTCGTCGTTGGGGTTTCCTTTTCCCAGTCTTTGCTGTGTAAGGGATCCCACGTACTGGCCTGTTGACTTGCGAATTCGTTAGCTAGAGCAACTAGATTCAACGCTTCCTTAGCTTCAGCCATGTTTTGCAATCTAACAACAACATCAAGGTGGGACCGATACTAGCGCCGCGACATAACTAACGGAGAAAAGGAGTTGAGTTAGGAAGCGTGCTGGTTATGTCCAGTATGCCATATTTGGTTCAATCGCAGTAAAAGCCGCTATGCAAGGCCGTGCCAAACAGTGCTGCCAAACCGTATATATATAATAGTAAGGATTGGCTTTGATTTAGAAATATTACATGTAATATAATGTTAATAAATATAAATAAATAATCATAACTATAACACATTTTTAACTGTAATATAATCAAAATGATGTTTTATTTTCCATTCCAGGTATTTATATTATAATACCGGCTATTATAATCAACTAGCTATTACCCGTCCTCAGACGTGGTTTAGTGGGGTCGTATTGAACGAGGCGTTAACCATTTATCTTCTCGCTTTTATTGCAGGATGTATTAGCAGTAAGACGAAAAATAATGATATTTATACTGGAGCAATATCAATATTTCGTTTAAAAAAATATTGATCTAAATATATATAAAATCAGATGATTTACTTTAATTACTACAATTTAAAAAAGAAGAAATGGGGATTTCATAGACAATTTCACTTTTTTAGATATTTATTTGAAATACATTCTGTTAGAGAAGCCATCATTAAAATAAAATTTTAAAAAAAAAGCAAAATGCATTGAGTAGTTTTGAGACATATTTTCTTTGAACTCAGTGGCAACGGCGACCGGGCAGGTTACACCTCCCGTTGTCAATATTGCACACACGCGCGCCGCACAGACACACACGATCACACACACCGCGCCGCACGGCACGCAACACACCGCATTCACACACACACTGGGCTTGCGCACGCACAATCCAACACGCGCACCCACGCACAACATACCAATTTGACAACATTGCTAGGCCCGCGCACACACACACGCATACCATAACATTGCATACATACATAGCATAACTACATATATATACATACAGTACATATACACGTCCATAGCAACTACACACACACAACACACACACACACACACACACACGACACACGCACACGCACCAACGACACACGCAACACACGCACATACACATACCACATACACATTACACAACACATTACAACTGCAGGCACGACTCCGTATGGGTTTGTCTTAAATTTTAGCACTCAACAGCTGTGGCGGCAGTGATTGCTGTTTTATACACCGCAGCCGCATATGATCTTTGGTGTGTGCGTGCCGCGTGTGCGTGCGTGCGCTCGTCTGCGCGTGCGTGGTGTGTGCCGTTCTGCGTGCCGAGTGCGTCGCGTTCGTGCGTGTCTACAGTGGTGGCTTACTATGCTAGGTGAAGGCTCCACCTAATTAATCTTATTATATACCTTATTCACATTTATAAAAGCTAATATTATCATTAAACACTGTTCACCGTGAGAAAACACATTAATAGTTTAACACAATATGTCAAAAGGATTATGGATACTATAGTATAGTGTTGGTATGTTGTGTAGCTCTTAGACAATCCGAAACGGCGTCCTAAAATGTCAGAGCTTGTCGGAAGCCAGGTAAGCGCGGGCACGGTTACACCTCCCGTTGTTCAAATAGTTGCACACCGCGTCCACGCACGCACACACGTATCAATCACATACGGCAGCGCACATACAACCACACGCGCACCCACGCACACACATACACATTTAACACACACACGGGGGAGTCCACACACATAAACCACACTGCCCACACCACAACCAACGCACTCACGCATCACGCACAAACGCACACGCACACGCACAGCACACGCACACGCACCACGCACACGCCACACGCACACGCACGATGCCCGCACAACGCAAGCACAGCGCACACGCCACACGCACAGACACGCACACGCACACGCACACGCACACGCAACGCACACCACACGCACACGACACGCACACGCACACGCACACGCAGCCGACCACCACGCACACGCACACGCACGCGCACACGCACACGCACACGCACACGCACACGCACACGCCGACACGCACACGCAACACGCATCACGCACACCACCGCACGACGCACACGCACACGCAGCACGCACACGCACACGCACACGCACACCACACACACACACACACACACACACAACACCACACACACACACACACACACACCACACACACACAGCACCACACACTACACACAAACACACCACCACACACACACACGCAGCACACACACACACACACACACACACACACACGACACACACAACACACACACACACAACCACACACACACACACACACACACACACACACACACACACACCACACAACCACACACACACACCACACACACACACACACACACACACACAACACACACGACCACACACACACACACACCACAACACACACACACACACACACACACACACACACCCACACAGCATCTACACACACACACACCACACACACACACACACACGACACACACACCACACACACCACCACACACACACACACACCACACACACAACAACACACACACACACACACACACACACACACACACACACCACAACAACAACACAGCACAACACACACACACAACCACACACACACAGACACCCCACACACACACACGCACACACACAGCACACACAGACACACACAACACCACACACAGCGAACATACATGCAGGCTCTGTATGCTCTCTCGCTTGAAAGTTGTCATTAAATTCGGCCTCACAGCTGTGGTGCGGCAGTGCTTGGTTGTTTAACACCTGAGCCGCAGGCATTTGGTGGAGTGCGTGTGTGCGCATGCCGGATTTGGAGCCATCTAAAAGTGGTGGGTCGTTTCCGACGAATGCCGAAGTTCTTCGGGCACATCACTTTTAAAAATTGCTCAAAAAGTCACCTTCTATGATCGAAAAGATCGCGTTCTAACGTAGCGCGAATGTATTCGGCGACGGCCCACAAGGCGTCCCCAGCTCGATTCATGCGCGAGGCGACACGCGGCACGGTTTCGGAGGAGATACGGAAAACGACACTTCGGCTCTTTCTACTATTATATAGTAGATAATAAATATCCTAGTCCGAATTACGGCCTCGATTTCCCAATATTTCAATTGTTCAATATTTCAATAACTCGGGCTATATATATATCAGATATTCATCGATAGATCTATGTGAGGTTATATCGTCTTTAGATAATATCTGGGGTGAATAATGACAAATAAAGTCATTAGCGACCACTGGTAATATTCACGGAGTGTATCATAGCCTAAGTTTCAATCTAATAAACGTTATTCTTGGTCTATGGTTGTATATAATAATCTCTGCACAGAACACATCCAGTGTTGCGGCACCATCTCGTGAGAGAAAACTTTGCAAACGTTCAATACAAATATAGAGACTGCGAAAAAATTAGGGGTGAGAGAAGAATTGCTGCATATAAGTTGTAAATGCCATAGAGTATTTGTGAAGGTTATGATTCATTCGTCTTAAACGCAGTATATCAAGGACAACTACCAGGCAAGTGTCTGAGTATCATATATTGAAATAATTATGAACACTACAGATGTAAATAAACATTTCAATGCAGCAGAGATAACAACCAATCTGGAAATGACTACAACAGCACCAATAAACAATTATTAAACTTTATAGGTTGATATAAAAATGGCTATGCAATCATAGAATGATATAGAGATACTCGAGCATCATTGAATAATTTAAAGAGGATTTAACACAAATTGATAAACAAAATCCTGAGCATCTGCCAGCTCACTTATATCACACTAAACGTACTCGCTATCATACACATTCACAATAAGATTCAGTTAAAAAAAATATATATATATAGTCATTATAGTGTGTTATTACAAAAATACGGTTACATTCAGTTTACATAAAATCACTTTGGCAGTTTGTACCTGAGATCATGCACTAATTCTAAAAAACGCATTTGTCACGTTGCACGTTCAAAAAATATTACAGAAATTTCACATGTTTACATATAAATATGCACTTTAGACCTACTGCATGCATGCATTATCCTAACACCAGACTACATACATAATACCTACTGGCTTCACTTAGGTTATGGCAGCATTGCTGCTAGTATTTCTTTTCTCTACCATAGTTGCCAGTCTCTCTTCACTCTACCATTGCTGCTAGTATCCCCTCTATCTAACTCTGCTACTAGTATTGCCTCTGTCTACCCCTGCTGGTTGTATACCTTCAGTCTACCACTGCTGCTAGTCTCTCCTTACTCTACCATTGCGGCTAGGATCTCATTGCTCTACCATTGCTGCCGCTATGACTTCTTGTGCCTGTGTCGTTTTAAACCAGGCATTTTTGAATCCGTCAGTGCAACCAGCAGCACTTTCTGTAGCAGCAATGTCCATTTCCCTGCAAAATGTGAAGATTGCTCAATTATTATATATATGCATAAACATGCCAGACACATGTCGAATGATTATATCAGCAGGTATGCAAACACCAAATATTATAAGATTGTGTACCACAGTCACAAATATCAAAGTACAAAAACGTCTTTTCCTATCCAGTTTCACTCCCGCGAATGAAACTTATAGTTTAACATCACAAGTCACTCGAGGTAGAAACCAGTGTTCGCTCAACATAAATAACCACATGAACCCAACTTTATATAAATCACGTTAATTTCGTAAAAAGCCTTACGTGTAGCTCCTTGCAGAAACAGGCGCCCTCTACCAATGACTGTTGCGTAGTACACGGGAATTCCAAGCAGATGGATGCAGATACCAACGACGAGTAACTGTGGCTCCAGGATCACTGGCACCAAGATGAGGTACCCGCAAACGAGCAGGAACAGGACCGGCACCATCATTGGAACCTTGCAGAAGCACGTCACACTTAGATGTTAGTAGTTATAATTGACCCGTCCATCAGGAGTGATTGACAGGCAGGTCTAACAAGTCATTGTTGTGATAGGACGTTTTATAAGACAATGCTTGGCAAAGAAATGTTCCCAAGTCGACAATTTAGTGTGCGCACGTGAAAAACATGTATAAGCAGATCTAACTTGACCGACTTCACAATAAAATTAAAAACCTGGTATATGGTTATCTCAATCAGATATATAGGAAAACTGCAGGATCATGGATAAGCTACCTTTGCATCAAAGCATTCTATGTTAGTATAGAATACAAGAGTAAGTGGTTCGATTAGCGACCTATACCGAGTATGGATACTATGATTCAATGGATGTTTTTTGCTTTGGATAAACAGAGACTGTAGATGCAGTGTCATATGATTCACTATCGCACGAGAAGACAGAGATACTGAAGGAACACGTTGGATACCAGCTGTATAAAAACTTGAACTAAACGGCACCTATAATTGGCACCTCATGATCAACGCACGCTAAAGGACAGGATGCATACTGAGCTGACAAAGCGCAAAACGTGACTACTATCTACTCTCTACCTTGAATGGCCGAGGCAGATCGGGACGCTTAATGCGCAGGTAGATCTGACAGATGGCGCCACCGGCCACCATAATCCAGCGCCAGCAGCCATAACTACGGTGCAGATAGTCAATGTCGCCGACACTGAAGAGAATCATGAGAGAAGCCATCATACCCTGAAGAAAGAAGTCACCTGTAGTCAAGACAATATCAAATGCAGGACTGCTCTCAGAGCTGTTCTATTTCTAAACCACATAAGCTAAATTCCACCAGCTCTCTGATACGCTACACGACCAACTCATAAATGTCAAAATTTAAAAAAGCGAATAGGTTTTCATTTTCTGATTACTACCCTAGCTGTATCGCGGTAGTTATCCAAAATTGTCAACAGTCCATATATATGTAAACTACAGTATGCATACATGCAAATCGCGCTTTAAGCATGCTCGCGTGTTCACGCAGGGCTAGCACATTATAAGATGGCTTAACGCATATATCTGCTTGCTAGTAATCAAATACATGCCACGTACATTGAGTAGGAGTGCTGGGAGTGGGGTGATCCTTCCAACACTGACCATTGCTAACAGCTCCGGCAGCTGATGTCCATCTCTTGCTCCAGCAAAGTAAACCCTGTAATCACCGACAGCTGTAGAATGAGAGACTATGTAGGAAACACTGTACCACCTTCCACCCACCTCACACATATGTTGCATCCACTTCTTACATACCTTCCAGTGCTTCCACACATCTCACACATCCCTTACATCTGTCTCGCACATACCTCACGCCCATCTCTCACATCCCTACACCAATCTCACACATACATTACATCCACTTCATACATACCTATACCTATGGCATGCATAGATTTCGCCTTTCTTACATGTGACCCATTAACACCTACCTTCCACCCATGAATATATTTCCATTGAGCGATCCCATAAGCGAGAGAATGACGAGGAGAGGCATGACAGCTGCAAAGGCACCCATTGTCTGTCTGGCAAACGCCTGCAGCCAGGAGAAGCAACAATCATTATGTTAGCCAGTGTTATCTAAGTCAATATAGCTGTATAGTAGGCTGGGTGGGCCCTATTATAAAAAAACACATAAATAGTTACGATTACGATAAGTTTAAAATGTTGCAACTTTTACACAATGCTTGATTTCAAGGTTTACCTCATTTTAGACACATTTTCGATGTGTAATGACATAACTGTGATGTTTTTGACAACATAGGTAAGATAGTAATGAGCCATTAATGCGGGCTATGCGCTAAGCAGGAGAGATAAGGAGAGAGAGAGAGAGCACATATAGAGAGCAAGAGATAGCATAGAAAAAAAACCTGGGAGAGTAAGAGATAGGGCAGGACAAAGAATGAGCAAGAGCTTGAGGGAGGGTGGAAGACAGGAAAAATGAGAAAAACAGCACAGGAGAAAAGAGAGAGAAAGAGAGAGGGAGAGAGAGAGAAAGAAAGAAAAAGACAGAAATAGAGGGTGAAAAAAGAAGAAACAAACAAGAAATGCCAGAAAGAGAAACTGGAGGGAATGTACACACACGACAAAAATAACACACAAATTACCACTAATGTAGTTACCATGGCGACAACCCCAGTGTCAAGAAGCTCTTGCTGAGGTAAAACCAGCATGTAGGCAAGATTTGTCAACACAAATAGAGCAGTGACCAGACACATGGAAATCAACAGTGCCCGAGGAAGATTTCTGCCAAGAAGTAAGCGCCACAATCAGCATTGCACACTGTATAATCACGACTACAAGCATATTGACATGCAATAATTGACACATATAATCTAGCTGCAATAACTGAGTACGTAGAAGCATACAAAGAAATAAATGAGCAGGAGGAGGAGGAGGAGGGGAGGACGACGAGGAGGAGGAGGCAGAGAAGGAGAAGGATGAGATTCAGGAGGCAGAGGAAGAGAAGAGAACAGAAGGGGAGAAGAGGGGGAATAGAGAGAGAGGAAGGATATAGGAACAAAGGGATAGGATAATGGAGATGGGATATATCACATACTTTTTAGGGTTTTTCAATTCCTCTGTTGCAAAGTTGAGGGTCTCCCTACAAAAAACAAGTACAAATACACGTGTGCTGATTGTCACATATTTTTTATCTTTTGTTATGCACTTTTAGTCACACATGAGAGCTGGTAATACGAGTAGTACATCACTACAGGGTGTAGTACCATTGTAATTCTTTCACACCATTAGCAAACTACTGTGTACCCTAGTGCCACATCTACTGACACAATGCACAAACACAATCAATGTCACCAAAATCGAGATTTTCTCAAAACAAGTGCCGCAGACCACAGCGCTCAACTGACGTGTACTGTAGCCAGGTATTCTTCTGATAAACTCACTGGCAACCGAATCAAGTGCGCCCTCCTGCCACCGCGTTCGCGCTCAGAGCATATATCTAGGATACTACTAATACAGATTTAAAATCTATGATAGGCTATACCTACTGGTAGTACAGGGGCTCTAATAGCAAAAGCAGTTCAGTCCTTTGTTAACAGTCAACAAATCCATGTTTAACCCTCCTCTTGAGGGTCAAAAGGTTATCCAACACTTACTCGTCGCATGTCAGCGGAAAGTACATTTCATGGTCCTTTCAATAAAGCCATAAAAATGGTAGGTTACCGCTGAAACAAAAAAGTTTTCCAATCGCTCCGTCAGACCATGTCCTCAGAAAATGTCTATCTACCCTGTGCCCCATTGACCTTTGACCTGTGACCTTCAATTTCGGCACAGTGATGGCTTTTCCTACCATGATGCTATACACCGACTATCACGAGCCTAGGTCGAGCCGTTTAGATTTGTGCCGCAATTCTGCATTTCCTCCCTATACCTTAAGTTAAGGAGGGAATGTTCCCCCTAACCTATTAATTTTTTACACCTCTTGACCTTTGACCTTTGACCCCCCCAGCTTCGACATCCCAACTCGTTTTCGGATTCCCCCCCCCCCCACGCCCCCAATATCGTTACCGTACGTCGAGCGGTTAAGATTTGTGCCCAACTGTTGACGGACGCGTGGACGGACGGACGGACGCACGCACGGATGCACGGACAATCATGCGATTCTACAAGCTGCATCTGACTATGTCAGATGAGCTAAAAAAACCCTGTCACTGGAAATCACATAGTTTATAGCACATGATTAAAAACAACGTTCGTAAGAGTACCATCCAGAATAAGCATACAGTCCCCAGTACAGAGCTGTCGAGATGCTTCCTATCTCGCGTGAGGTGCCCTCGAAGGCTTGGCCCTGTGTAAGGAAATTCAGCGGCTCTTGCGCTAGGTGCACGCAGCCGAAGATGATTATAGCCCCCAGGGCAACACACTTGCAGTAGAAAGATGCCGATTCCAGGTTGCAGGTCCAGTGGACGCTGTAGGAGTTGATGGCGACAATTGCCCCTAGCAGGAGTGATGCAGAAAGCCAGTTAGTAGGCATGAGGAAGTGAGCCGGAGAGTAGATGAATGTGAACGAGGTGATGAGTGAGTGAGTGTGAGTGAGTGAGTGAGTGAGTGAGTGAGTGAGTGTGAGTGAGTGAGTGAGTGAGTGAGTGTGAGTGAGTGAGTGAGTGTGAGTGATTGAGTGTGAGTGAGTGTGAGTGAGTGAGTGTGAGTGAGCGAGTGAGTGAGTGAGTGACTGAGTGTGTGTGTGCGAGTGAGTGAGTGAGTGAGTGAGTGAGTGAGTGAGTGAGTGAGTGAGTGAGTGAGTGAGATTGAGTGAGTGAGTGAGTGAGTGAGTGAGATTGAGTGAACAAAGTAGTCAGCAAGCAGGTAAATTTACGACTTAGGAATCTAATTATTAAACTACTTATATTAATTGATTATCATATCTTTATGCTTTTTGCTACATGGCTTGTCCATGCTATTTATAGTAAAGGCTATAACATTCATGTTAATATCTACCACATCGCATTATTACCTTCGACGTTGCGCTTGACAGAGCTTGAAACAGATTAATTAAGGCCCACATATTTCATCGCACCAGATTATAAATAAGACGCACTCACACACACAACACAAGGCGACCATCCTCTCACTACAAGGAGCAGGTGGAGCCACACACTGCCAGTAGTGAAACAGTGTGCTGTAGCGAGCGATGGTCAATGCAACTATGGCCTGCTTCAGTGGACGCCGCATCCACAGCTCTGACCACAGAAACATGAACGATGACAGCGGTCCAAACGCTAACCTGTAGGGAAACCGCAGACGGCTGTCATCTGGTAAACAGCTAATTTCTCGAGAATAATATATATAATAAATATAATCTGAAAATAATCCAACTCTAGTTTCATTTCTAGCATTTGCATGTCATAACAATATATACAATAATGATATAACAAGTGATACCATGAACACGTCTACACAATGATACACGATGATGCAACGATAAGTTCACGATGTTGCTGATAAATACGAGTATTTATTACATGCATGCACTGTACTTACATTACTTATATTACTTACCTTAAGTACTGATATTGTCCTCCTGACTTCGGAACCATAAGTCCTAGTTCAGCGTAGCAGAGTACTCCTAAAAGGGTGAAGATACCACACCCAAACCAAACAGCTAGAGCCATACCTGGGGAACCTAATAGGACAGAGACATGGGCTGAATTATCTCACTTACAAGCATATCCTTGATGTAATGTGACGTCAGATAGCACGCATGTACAGATATGATTATCAAGTAAACATTATTAAACATCTGTCACAAGACTGAGCAAGGATACACAAGATTGAACACGTACATATATAGGAATGATTATACTTATGTGCATTCTGTATGTTGACAAAGCAATTCATACTTGACTGCTGAATGACATTACTTATCTGATATTCTCATCAACAGATTGCTATTTATATTCACTAAAGCCTAGAATTTATTTGACAACAGTACATAAAAGTTATTCATTCTCTTGTTCAATGGATGCTCAACAATAGTACATTATTTAATTTGCCGTAAAACCGAGTGAAGATCTGCAAAACTTTGATGAACTGCTAATGGCAACAAGGTTCTTCACTCACCGGCATGTGCCAGCACATTCTTAGGGGTCGTGAAGATTCCGGCACCGATGACGGCGCCCGTGACAAGAGCAACGGCCCTCAGCAACCCCACCGACTTGTGTAAGACATGATGCTGCTCATTCACGTAAAAATCACCGTGCTGCTGTGTGGATTGTGCACCCGTACAAGAATCCTCTTCCTCTTCATCCTCATGCATGTCTTGTGCTATACCACTGCACTGTGAAATAGAAGCGAGAAAAAGAGGTTACTTGATTTTCATGTCTTGATTTTGGTAATGCCTTTTACACCCACCATCTACTGGCAGTGGCTGATTATACGTCGTTCCGGAGATCTTTGAACCAAGTAAACCAATTTAATGCCATAATGGGTTTGATTCTGAATGATGAAGCCCATTTCATTTGTATGGTTAATTTGGTTCATGGTTCATTTGATAGTAGCCATGGGAATTCTGCTGCCGGACAGGTTCCTGTTGTGGAGCGAAGAGCTACACAAGTAAAGCTGCTAAGTAAAAGGCAATACTGAAAGTAACCGGGATATCTACCGAGAAGAAGAGCTATTGTCGACTATTGTATATTATACAGCAGGCTGAGCGGTTCATGGAGCGCTGAGCGAGCTGCGTTGGTCCAGTAGTTAGTTAGTTAAGGATAATGGGTTGTAATAGGCCTAGCCTAATGTGCACTCATATCTGGCGGTTTCCTGAATCGGTCGATTCTGGCCTTAAATTCGTTAGTCGTGGTAGCTGCGACTGCACTTTGTGGCGGTTTATTCCAGGGTTGCACCACTCTCTGGCTGAAAACGTTTTGTCGCACCTGGAGTATGGATTGTTGTTTATATAGTTTCATGTTATTTCCTCTTAGTGATGTTTTTGAGGCTGGACAAAAGAAAGTGTTTGGATTCAGTTTATATTTCCCTGTCATAATTTTGTATGATTCTATTAGGTCGCCTCTTAGTCTTCTGGTATGTAAAAATTGTAATCCTAAAAACTTCAGCCGGTCCTCGTACTTGACGTTTTTTTAACCTATATACTAGTTTGGTGGCCCTTCGTTGGACTTTTTCCATGTGCTCAATGTCTTTACTAAAGTAGGGAGACCAGGCCTGGATGCAGTACTCTAGGTGTGGACGTATAAATGTTTTGTATAGAATCAAGAAAGCTTTCTTGTCCAGGAACTTGAAGGACTTCCTGATTGACCGTAATACGTTGGTAGCTGTACAGGCTGCCTATATGCACTGCATCGTAGGTTTCATGTCGTTATAGATATCCAAACCCCAATGTCCTTTTCCTCCTCTTCCTCCTTCAAAATTCTTCTTTGGTCCCCGTCTTTCATTGTGTAGATATATTTGTTATTTTTACTGCCTATGTGCATCATTTTGCATTTGTCAACGTGAAATTTCAGGAGCCATGTTTTTGACCACTCACTTAATTTATCGAGGTCTGTCTGCAGAAAAATATTGTCTGTGATATGTTTCTTACTATATTCCAAATTTTTGTATCGTCTGCAAACATTTTCAACTTACAATTTACAAGGTCTGGTATATCGTTAACATAAATTAAAAACAGGATTGGACCAATGACTGATTCTTGAGGTACCGTACCCAGCTGTCGACGCTGCTCCACTCAGAAAATTCTCAGTGCAATGATACCCGCATCTTTCTGTCTGTCAGGAAACTTTCCAGCCATGCGATTAGGTTTCCCCTGATTCCGTAGCCTTTTAACTTACTTATGAGACGGCGGTGTGGAACCGTGTCGAAGGCCTTTTGGTAATCCAAAAATACTGTGTCCACCAAAAAAACACCACAAAAAAACATCATGTGCAAGTCCAATGCTGATGTCCACGAAGACGGGAATATAGTCACAGGCTAATATAGCAATTTTCTGCTCTTATATATGAGAGCAAATGTTTGTAGCCACTGTTCGCTAAGGTATATAGTAGCAAAATTTGTAGCTGATACAATGGCTACAAATCTGCTACATATATATAGGCATCGAATCTGTAGCTGATACAATTTATGGCTACAAATCTGCTACATATATATAGGCATCGAATCTGTAGCTGGTACAATGGCTACAAATCTGCTACATATATATAGGCATCGATTCTGTAGCTGATACAATGGCTACAAATCTTTTACACATATATATATATAGGCATCGAATCTGTAGCTGATACAATGGCTACAAATCTGCTACATGTATATAGAGCATCGAATCTGTAGCTGATACAATGGCTACAAATCTTTTATATCTATATAGTATCGTTATTCTGTAGCCAGTACAATGGCTACAAATCTGCTACATATATATAGGCATCGAATCTGTAGCTGATACAATGGCTACAAATCTTTTACATATATATAGGCATCGAATCTGTAGCTGATACAATGGCTACAAATCTTTTACATATATATATAGGCATCGAATCTGTAGCTGATACAATGGCTACAAATCTTTTACATATATATAGGCATCGATTCTGTAGCTGATACAATGGCTACAAATCTGCTACATATATATAGAGCATCAAATCTGTAGCTGATACAATGGCTACAAGTCTTTTACATCTATTATAGTATCATTGACATTAATCGAACATTATTCGAACGTTTCTAGAAGATTTGTCAGGCAGCTTTTTCCTGCCGCGAACCCGTGCTGGTGAGGGGTGAAAAGGTCATTAATGTTTAAGTGCTCTACAATGTGATCGTTTACCAGGGATTCCATCACTTTACATGTTACACAAGTTTGTTAGTGCCACCGGTCTATAATTTCCGGCATTAGCCATTACTTAGGCTGATTAGTCCTGCTTCCCTTCTTGAAGATTGGGGTAATTTCTGAGCATTTCCACTTCCAGGCTGTTGGTATCTTGCCTTCTAAAGAAGGCTTCTAAGTAGTTAGCATGCTGCTAGGTTCACTGCAAAAAGGCCTGATCTACATAGGGGTACACATAGGAATTATACAATGTAGGAAATAGGGTAATAAGTACCGGTTGTTTTTACACTTTGGCCACCTCTGTTTGTTATGATCCCATTGATCGCGTTCGTGTTCACTTGTCTGCTCGCCGAAATATTGCTGCTGTCAGCAGCGCCACCTTCATGGTTAAATTTGTAATGCTGACTTCTGATATGTATTTTAGATGGTAATAGATGTAATCAGAAGTAGATAATAGGGAAATTTCCCTATTACTAGTATTAGTATTATCTACTTCTGTCTGTAATCAAATCTGTATCAAATCTGTATCAATCTGTTATCAAATCTGTAGCTGATACAATGGCTACAAGTACAAGTCTTTTACACTATTATAGTATCATTGACATTAATCGAACATTATTCGAACGTTTCTAGAAGATTTGTCAGGCAGCTTTTTCCTGCCGCGAACCCGTGCTGGTGAGGGGTGAAAAGGTCATTAATGTTTAAGTGCTCTACAATGTGATCGTTTACCAGGGATTCCATCACTTTACATGTTACACTTGTTAGTGCCACCGGTCTATAATTTCCTGCATTAGCCATTACTTAGGCTGATTAGTCCTGCTTCCCTTCTTGAAGATTGGGGTGATTTCTGAGCATTTCCACTTCCAGGCTCAGGCCCGTAGTGGCCTCCCAAAAAGTGCCACTGCAGAAATATGTAGCCGATGCGGGGGGTCTGGGGGTACTCCCCCCGAAAAATTTTGAAACGT